CTACTGATTCAGTAAGACATGAAGTTCCACCAGTTCCACATGTGACGGTCCACGTCAAGTCTGAGAGAGAACCCAGTGTGTTCAGAGGTGACAGCTCTGACATGCACATGGTTCAAGAATGTGTTCAGACTATTTGACAACAGTCTATGACAACAGACTATTTGAAAAAGCAAAGATGTGAGGTGCCTGATCATGCGGAAGAGATCATGGGCAGGTTGATGGGAAAAGCTAGGGATGTAGTGAAGATAGGTTTGCGGAGTGACGAGTCATTGGATGTGAAACAGAAACCAGATCAAATCTATCATATCCTCCTGCAGTAATTTAGTGACACATCATCATGTCTCCCGCTTGAAAATGTATACTCTACCAAGCCCAAACTGAGGGAGGACCTGGTAGACTACCGGATCAGGCTCAACAAAGCAGCGGATTTAGCTGATGAGGGTTTACGCAGACAGGGTGGGAGGATGGAAAACAGAAGTCGCTCTGGATAAGAGCGTCTGCTAAATGATGTAAATGTAAATAAGTCAACAAGTAGCCTGCATGTTTGTGAAACATTGCCCTGATCCTGAGCTCTCCTGCAGGTTCAACTGCAAAGCACTCCATGAGTGGAGTTCCAGAGATGTTCAGGTGAGGATCGATGCGTATCAGAGGGAGCAGAGACCTTTAATGAAACAAAGCTGCGTTACACAGCTGAAGAGTTATGCCACTGCTCTGCATGACAAGGTCCCAGTGTCACACAACCAAGCTAACGATGAAAAATGTCATGCCTCACACTCTTCTTTTGCTCCTGTTCCGGCTCAATGTCATCTGTGTCACACTTTTCCAACTCAGTCAACAGTATAGCCATTCCTGCCCTGGTTCAACACGCACAGCAGCAGCCAGATGAGAAGATGGATATGTTGGAACTAATGCTGGAGAAAGTGCAGCGACAAACCAGTGGTTCCCGTGAACACAACCCAATGTCTCAACATCCTACCAGAGAACAGGCCCGCAGGGTCTGTAATGATACTAGTCACTCAACACAGTCTCATTGCATGGGAGAGTGTCTGTGCTTCCTCTGTTTCAGTCCTGGTCACACGAGACATGCATGCCCCAGGCTTTTGTCACAGTCCAGTCCGGCTGAGGGAAACTAGCCGACCTGTATTCTGAGGGAGGCAGTACAGGTCAAATTGAAGATACACCCAATGCTGAAGCTCTATACATGTCAGCCAAAGACTCTAGTGACATGACTGGAGATGTTGTGTACCAGAACACACGTGATGGGAAGCAGCGACAGCCTGTTTTACACACCTGTGATTGTTGGTTACAAAGTGACTCTAGGCGCTATGCTTGACAGTGGGACAATGAGTGAGATGCCATATGAGAGCCGTTACACGTCACATAGCCAACGCCTAAAAAAATAACATTGCGGGACTGTGGTTGGGTTTGGGACCAGTTCTTGCCGGAGCGGGAGGGAGTTGGACAGAAAGCCAGCGGGAGCGGGCATGTGCGGTATGAAATGCTGCTGGTGCGGGCGGGAGCAGGATGAAGAAATCAGTCCCATGCAGATCTCTGCTTCCATGCTCTAGTTTTTGTTACTTTCTTCTTATGAAACCCAGAACAAAAAGCACCGTAGGGAAGGAGAGGGAAGTATTTTGATGTTATCGTTTGAAATGTAAATATCTGGTTTGAAGCGTAGCCCAGGGAGACTCAGTGCCCTCAAAGGGGTGTTAAACTCATACAAGCACTTCACTGGAGTCAGGTTTGTGCTGTTATGGAGATTCAGAGAGGCGGTGGGATCCTCAACCGATTCCCTGCCCAATACTACAGAACAAGCTGTTGAAAGGATTTAGGAAATGAATGCATACAGTAGGCTATGTCTAGAAAGCAAATAGACCACAGGTGACCAACAGAAATTTACTTCATACTAACTGGGTATCAAAGCTGCTGCTGTATGAGCCAAAGTGAGAGAGCTGCCCGGAAGGCACCTCCAGACCTGTCTGCATGAAATCACTGACAGTTACCACCACCATTATCTCAGTCTTAAGGTTTTAGATGTAACAACATTCTTTGCTTTAGGATGTCAACATTTTCCTTGCAGCAAGTTAGGTGACAGTTAAGATTATGCACACGCCCTTATTCATTACCTAATAGGCAGAGAAAGAAAAACAATCAGCGGAAAAGAGGAACTAACCAGTGCTTGTACTGGCGGGAATTCTTGCATGAAGATGTAGAGATTGTGTAAGACTACTCAGAGGGTTAGTCAGCGATGTGCAAGCTGATAATCATCAACTATGACTCAGGAGTGAGGTTACTGGGAGAATATTCCCCACCCAACCAGCCACCAGAGAGAGAGAGAGACACACACATCTCACGCACAATGCAGCATCCACATTTTAATGTTATAGATGGCAGCTTCCCCTGGGTCTGCAGTGTGTCTGTGTCTGTACGCCCGCCAGCCAGCCAACCAGAAACATTCACCTCAAACCAGAACAAACCACAGGGTGAAGTCTGAACCACCAACAAAAGGAAAGGGAGCAGAGACCTGACTGTTGGCATGCCTCCCCTATTGAAGAGCAGCCTAGTATAATTAGCATTCACAGCCACCTTTCAGCAGGGCCCGACTTTCAAACCTCCAGCTGTCAGCCCAAATACACTGGTCTCAGTATCCCTGGCCAGCACAGCGTCTGCATCCTCCTTTCTGATTAACTTCACCAAGGAGTGGAGCCTAGACCAGGCTTTGTGGACTCTAGCTCCGACTACATCGATTCTCCTAAGGTCAATAGTTTAAAAAGAAATTCTACTTGAAAAAATATATATATATATATAAGTAATGAAACGCCCACCTTGTACCTATGCTTGTCCTCTAGTTGTGTGTAACTTCCTTTACCATTTAGTGGAGTTTAGTCCGATACCTCCTGATCAATATAGGCACGCTTTCAGAAGGCACAAGAGTCCTCCTAGCTACAGAACATCCCTTCTGAATTTCAATGAAAACCATCAACACTAGGCTAGGCAGGCAGTCACAGAAATAAAAGTAGCTCTGGGTGAGGCAAACACAAACATGTATGGATACTTGGCCAACTGAACTGGTGTTTTCAGTAAGGTCCCCTTCTCAGTTATCAAGTCAACAATTATATAAATGGATGAACCTGTAGAACCAGTTCAGTGTCCTCAAATTTAGCTAGCCGCAGTTTAGCCTAGAGCGTGGTTACTACTGGTTAACGTTATAGCAGCTAACGTTAGCTAGCTAGCATAACAAGCTTCCTGAATCCTCCTAGCAACCTAATCTCATGAAAAGCAAATAACAAGTGTAAACAAGAAAACATGTGTCAGTTGAATTACAAAAACTGACTTTTGTGAATTGAACAGAACGAGATTGTTTTACATGTAATCTCATCATCAGTCGGTAGCTAGCTAATTAGCTGCCAGTGACAGACTCCCAGGTAGTCAAATCTTACCGTTCTGTTGGACATCCGTTTCCCAACACAGTAGTGAGGAGTTAGTCCGACTTCAATGCAGTTTCTGATTCAAAACACTGAAATGTTGTATACTTCTGAAAGACCAAGTTACATTTTTTGTTAGATCGACTTTGCGAGAACAGAAACTAAGCTCACATAGCCAAGCGACTCTTATCTCTTGCGCTGTTCTTCCTGACTGACCGCAGATGTAATTTAAACCAATGCGGTAGCTGTCACGGCTTTATTTCTTATCCGTGACTAGCTATCTACATACCATGTACGGGAAGCGATATCTGAACAAAAAAGTATTACATTATCTTTCATGTTAAATAGACAACGTTTCATTTAACTAGGTCTTACATCTCTAGAGACACTTTGTTGGCTACTGCTGGGCGAAAATGGCGTTACCATAGAGTTTCTAAACCCAGAGGTGCAACATCGCTAGAATTCTGGGAACGCTTGCGAAACAGACCAGGTTGGGGTTTGAGAAGTCAATAAGAGAAGTGACAAAATCTTCCTTAATTGTTAATTTTCTCGAAATGTAAAGGCACAACCTAAATTCGAGCCAATGTCTTAAGTAGTTGAACATAATATTACTTCAACATCGTGAAAATGATAAACTGACACGATTTCATTTTCGTCAAAAACATATATTAAAGGAGTGCCTTTGATTTGACGGCCAACACATGCGCAGTTCGGCGCTAGACTACAGCTAGACCCGGTGACTTGTTTCTACGCATGAGTTTAGCTAGCCAACGTCGCCTACAAGCGTGATCGGGGATTTCTTTTGGAGAAGCAGTTTTAGCCTATCTTCACACTACTGTCTTTGGCGTTACAGTCCTCGCACCCCAACTCCCGTTCCTTGATCATGATGTCATCCAGTTCAGATTAAAGGGGAAGTGACAATAACAGTCCCACACTGCCATTTATTGTGTTACCTAGCGTCAGAGATTTTAGAGGGTTTCTATAACGTCTTTGGCTAGCATCATCGATTGTATCACGTGAGGGATTTCATTTACTTTAGTCTAGATATATTTAGATTAAACAGTATTGTCATCAATTTGAATGAATGATTGTATTCACAAAAGCGCTATCATTCAATCAATCAACACCATAATATAATATTGGGTGGCAGGTAGCCTAGTGGTTGCTAGTTTGAATCCCTGAGCTGACTAGGTGATAAATCTGAGGATCTGCCCTTGAGCAAGGCACTTAACCCTAATTGCTCCACTGTCGCTGTCAATAATGGCTGAGCCCTGACTGTGACCCCACTCTGAGGGTGTCTCTGGGGGAGAGGGATATGAAAAAATAAAATAAACTTTTACATTTCACACAACACACACTTGTACAAGTTACACACTTGTACATATGTGAAACAGGACAAATATAAGCATCCCCCTATTTATTAGATGTCTAAACCTCTTCTGTTCTTTTTTTAAGTCCTGATCATAGAACAAGTGACTGGGTTGGTAAAAGTATTATCATGACAGGTGGGGGGAGTGCTGTGGGAGTTCCTCACTCAATTGTTGCACCAAATCAAATAAAAGACAAACACTAAGGTGAGGGAATAGAAGATAACATATTTAATGAGTATCATGTGGTAGGGCTGCCTTTCTTCCAGCCTCTTCTCTCTGCAAGCGTTCTCCAGATGTTGTGGAAAGCCACTCTGCCCATAAGCAAGGTGATTGTGAAGTTACGTCTGTACCAATCCCTGTCAATGAGATGAAGGGAGGGAAAAGAGACAACAACACTGTAATAAATAGGAGAGAACTCATTATATTCACACAATGGCTTGCTTATGAGCATACTAGTTTGACACATACAGCAAATAGTTGACCTTGAGCATGAGTTATATCACATTAATTAATAATGATATTTCAAGACCTGCTATTTTACCCCTCAGTAGGACATATGATACAGAGCATCCTTTTGCACCTATTTGATCAACTGTAAGCAATACTTCCCAAACTTACTTATTGTAATTGGCATGTCTTATGCAGTTTTCATCCAGGAAATGTTTGTAAAAGACTGCCATTTCTTCACTGTTTAAAGCCCTTTTCCTTCCTGAGAAAATATAAGGAACAACAAACATCAAGACACATTCCAACCACCCCTGTGTCATCCATCAGTTTGATGAAAAAAATATCCTTCATATTTTCACAGCACAATATCAGCTCACCTTTCTCATCTCTCTCAGTCAAGCCTTTCTCCTTCAGTTGTGAGAGGATGAAGGCATCCTTCTCCTAAATGAAAAAAACAGAAATAGCCTTTGAACACACACAAAGTTCTTAAAAAATGAATACACTACTACAGTACTGTAAAAAAATATATATTTTATTTTCCTCAATATTTGAGAACCTCAGTGCAGTGCTCCCCTCTGGTGGGCAAAATGTGTTATGGTATATGACGTTGCATCGTGCATAAGAACAGCCCTTAGCCGTGGTATATTAGCCATATACCACAAACCCCCGAGGTGCCTTATTGCTATTATAAACTGGTTACCAATGTAATTACAACAGTACAAAGTCATTTTTTTGTCATACCCATGGTATAAGGTCTGATATAGCACAGCTTTCAGCCAATCAGCATTGAAGGCTCAAACCACCCAGTTTATAATCTATTATAGCTAACTCAATACACATTTACTGATGGGTTTCTGCTTAGCTTGGCTTTTACTACTTAGATTACATTTTATTTAGGGTCCAAGGAAGCTTATGCTAACCAGAGATTAAGTAAAATAACCAAGAAACTCACAGAAAAAGTTTATCAACAACAGCTGAGCTAAGTAGTAAATCATTTGTGAATGCACTATTGCTTTAGGTGTCTCTGAGATGAGTCAATAGATAACTAAGGATGCTGTTGAGTCAATGGATAATTGAGGATGCAAACCTTGTTGAAAGTGATATTCTGATTGGTCCAGAATGCATGGTTCCAGTCCTCCGTCTCTTGCCTCAAGGTTCTAAGCTGCTTCTCCAATTCAGTCTCATTCTCAGGGATGTGGTATATGATTGGCCGCAGGTTTGACAGGCTGTGCGGGGGACCAATCCAGTCGTGCTTAGAGTCAGCAGCTGGGATGAACTGGGATCTCTGTTTAAAAAATACAGACAAATAAAACATCCTAATCATGTTACTTCCATAAACAGTGGGGGCGGCAGGTAGCTTAGTGGTTAAGAGCGTTGTGCCAGTAACCGAAAGGTCGCTGGTTCTAATCCCAGAGCCGACTAGGTGAAAAATCTGTCGATGTGCCCTTGAGCAAGGCACTTAACCCTAATTGCTCCTGTAAGTCGCTCTGGATAAGAGCGTCTGCTAAATGACTAAAATGTAAATGTAAAATGTAAACAGACAGTACACAGCAAAGGAGATCACACATAGGATGTATTTTAACCATCCCCTCATATCAATTCAACATTTAAAGCCAGGCAATGTTCTTATTGAGGGTGTTTGGTTATTAGGTGACAGTATAGCCTGGTAGTGCCTTGCATAATTTGAGCTTTGTTTTATGACATCATTATATATAGCAGTTACTTACATTTTAGTCATTTAGCAGACGCTCTTATCCAGAGCGACTTACAGTTAGTGAGTGCATACATTTTTCATTCTTCCTGCATACAGAAATCAACAATTGAATTCAAATCTGCCAACCCCTATTGGCCTTACTAATTTGCAGCCTGCCTTGAGGCATGTCCACATTAGGAGGAGGCAATAGTGGTAGTCTTGGCAAATATTTTTGTTAGCAGGAAGTCGCCCAATTGTTACTAGCAGTAGGAATATTCTCCTTCTCATCAACCAACATTAGCAAACAATGCTTCTGGAGGTAGGTCTCTGAGCCTCAGACCAGAGACGTACAATAAAAAAGCACATGAAATCAAGTCATTGATGACAAACTAGCTAGTTAGTGGCCCACGCACCTTCGCTGAGTTCCCTTGCTTGGTTGGTTGACTTGAACTGCACCGACGACTGGCGTTCGCTGATATGCGCCGCATTGGCAATGGACCTAAAAGATTACAAGGACATAGTGACCCCCACAGAAAATATCCCGTGGTTTTGCAACTCATTTCAGGGCCTCTTCTAAACTTTTACAGCATCGTCGACCTTCTGGACGTAAGTAACATGAAAATAGCCACTGTTCAGTTCGTCTGTGACCAACTTGCAACGCTACCACGTGAAAGAGGACGTTCCATGTACTTCCTGTACTGAAATTAGGTTGGACGACCAACGTATATCACAACTTCAACACGCCTCTCGGTTTACTTAGTCAAATGATATAACATAACCATTTGTCTGCGGAAGCCCGAGTGTAATTTATTAGCATTGTCCACATGTGTATTTAATTAAACGCCCAACACGGCTTTTCATATTCGAACATTCTTGTCATTACCATTTCGTTTGGCCAGCCTGTCATTCCTCCGCCATTCCTTCGTATTTCCACGGTATTGACTAGATGGGATACAGTTTGTCAGAATTGACCGGAATTTACTTTTCGTAGCAGGTTAGGATAATTAACGTAACAGGGTAGGATAATTAGGGTAAGGTTAGGAAAAGGATTCGGGTTAACTAAAATGCAAAAAAAAATCTACTTTATACATCATTTTGACATAAACCGTATACCATCTAGCCATGATCGCAATCCTCCTCCTGAAAAAAAGCTAGTACTAGCCAGCTAGCTAATCGCTACATCTCGGTTTGTGGTTGTGCGTGGTAATGTTTAGCATTATATCCATCTTTTCACTATTATGGCTGTACGTTGGTTATGCAGGTAAGAATGAGGACATGTAGCTTATCATATATTCCTTACAGTTTATTAGCTATCTAAATTATTTAAAATTTATTTAGCTAGCACCGTTCAGATATCTACAATGTAGCTAACTAGCCTACATGCTAGCTTGTACCTAAAAGGCTAAACAAATTTGACGCCACAGTGATGTTTTCATTCATATGTGTGGATTTATTGCACTTTGGCTGACATTTTTATGTTCTCAGAGAGCAAAATTGCTGTCAAGGGACCGAGTATGAAAAATGTATGCACTCACTAACTGTAAGTCGCTCTGGATAAGAGCGTCTGCTAAATGACTAAAATGTAAAATGTAAATGTGACTGGGAGTCCCTTGTTGACCAGCGGTGCACTTGTTCCAAAGAGCCTTCATTGACCTCTCCAACATCTGGAGCCCCGTTAAATTCTACAAAAAGTAGCTAGCTAAAGCTTTCCTTCCCCCTTCCATCACTGATTACAACTTCAAAATAACTGGACAGGAGAAAGTTATCTGGTTGAGCCCTTGCTTTCACCTGTCCAATTATGTGTCATCAGTGACTACTGAGGAAGGAAAGGTGCACTTTAAAGGAATTCGAATGGGGCCCTTGGACTTTTTAAAGGTAGACTCAGCAATATGATATCATACAAAGCGGGCGACTTCCTGCTCACAACTACATGAACTTGTCCAATAACAAAATAGATCTGGCTATGTTGTCCACTACTGAACACGACCCATGAGTGGGGAAAAGACTCCAAGGTGACTCAGATAGTGGTCTAATAGGCCTGTAGATTATGATCATTTGAGATGGGAGCGAGAAGGTCACAGTCTAGGAACATACAGAGAAGGACCTGTCAGATGAGTCATAATACCCCCGGAACTAGCCACACTTGGAGGCAAATTGGAAATGCAATACATTGAATACACAGAGCAGGGTGGAAAAATCGCATTAAAAAACTATTTAAATGTATTTTCAGAAGAGCTGTGGTCACCATTCATGTAATAGATGAAATATATAGCTTACATCTGACAGTATTGGGGAGCTATTTCATAGTTTTTTCACGGGTAGGCCTACATTATATTCCCATTTCAATCTTTTAGCAAACCTATGCTTGGTGTGACTGTTATGGGCAGAGCAGACTATCCGATATGCCCTTAAATATTTTGATATGCAACCTGGAATTAAAATGTAATAGCACCAGTGCTTCTATAGTGAAACAAATCTCACATTTGTGCCGTTTGCGAGCGATGATGTTAGGCTACATTGTATCGTTGTTTCGTCTTCAGAGCGCACTGGCAATAACAATTTCACTTTACAGAGACAACCACGGGTTCTTCAAGTTTAACACTAGCCTATATCCACAAATTTTTTAATAATCTGAATGAAGATGATGGTGAAGGGGGTGATTTGAATTTACAATATACATCGGGGTTTGGCCTCTAGGTTTGGCCTCTAACCAATTTGTTCCTGAGCTTGTAGCTACTCGGCGGGCCAGAACATATAGCCTACTATCTGCCCAATTCATATCCCCACACTACACATTTAACACGTGGTTAGTGGGATAATCAATTCAATGACAATAATGTGATCATTTCAATCTGATTACAGTGGTTAAATCACCAATGTCTCTATTAATAGGCCTATACCTACTCTATTAAAATATATTCATCTTAAATGTATTTCTCCAATGCCAAACCAGTGTGTCTTGTTTGCAACGAAACTGTTGCTGTTAGCAAAGAATTCAATCTGAGATGTCATTATGAATCTAAGCATGGTACTTTCAGAAGTTGATTTTCCACCCCAGACATGAGGCCAAAGTCTGACGCAGAAAGGAGGTAGGCCTATTTAAGGAGTGCATGGTGACAGTATTGGAGGAAATAGCTATAGCGACAAATAAATGGATAACATAATTGTGTCTGTCAAACAGGTAAGCCTACCTCTTATTTATTAAATGGTGCTCCAACAAAGCCCTCTTGTTAGTAAATTTGCCGACTCAACTTTCAGCACCGGGCGCTGTCCTTATTGATTTTAGAAACTAATATTTTTTCAAATTTATCCAATTGTATTCTATTCTCTGGTTTTTATCATGGACCTATTCCCCAAATATTATACATTGAGGGAAAAAAGTATTTGATCCCCTGCTGATTTTGTACGTTTTCCCACTGACAAAGACATGATCAGTCTATAATTTTAATGGTAGGTTTATTTGAACAGTGAGAGACAGAATAACAACAAAAAAATCCAGAAAAATGCATGTCAAAAATGTTATAAATTGATTTGCATTTTAATGAGGGAAATAAGTATTTGACCCCTCTGCTAAACATGACTTAGTACTTGGTGGCAAAACCCTTGTTGGCAATCACAGAGGTCAGACGATTCTTGTAGTTAGCCACCAGGTTTGCACACATCTCAGCTTCGACTCTGTCAACCACCGCATTCTTATTGGCCGACTAAATAGCCTTGGTTTCTCTAATGACTGCCTCGCCTGGTTCACCAACTACTTCTCAGATAGAGTTCAATGTGTCAAATCGGGGGGCTTGTTGTCTGGACCTCTGGCCGTCTCTATGGGCGTGCCACAGGGTTCAATTCTTGGGCCGACTCTATTCTCTGTGTATATCAATGATGTCGCTCTTGCTGCTGGTGACGCTCGGATCCACTTCTATGCGGACAACACCATTTTGTATACATCTGGCCCTTCATTGAACACTGTGTTAACAAACCTCCAAACGAGCTTCAATGCCATACAACACTCCTTCCGTAGCCTCCAACTGCTCTTAAACACTAGTAAAACGAAATGTATGCTCTTCAACCGAACGCTGCTTGCACCCGCCCACCCGACAAGAATCACTACTCTCGGCGGGTCTAACCTAGAGTATGTGGACAACTACAAATACCTAGGTGTCTGGTTAGACTGTAAACTCTCCTTCCAGACTCACATTAAGCATCTCCAATCAAAAGTTAAATCTCGAATCGTCTTCCTATTTCGCAACAAAGCCTCCTTCACTCATGCTGCCAAGCATGCCCTCGTAAAACTGATTATCCTACCGATCCTTGACTTCGGCGATGTCATTTACAAAATAGCCTCCAACACCCTACTCAGCAAATTGGATGTAGTCTATCACAGTGCCATCCGTTTTGTCACCAAAGCCCCATATACTACCCACCATTGTGACCTGTACGCTCTTGTTGGCTGGCCCTCACTACATATTCGTCGCCAAACCCACTGGCTCCAGGTCATCTATAAATCACTGCTAGGCAAATCCCCGTCTTATCTTAGCTCACTGGTCACCATAGCAACACCCACCCATAGTCTGCGCTCCAGCAGGTATATCTCACTGGTCATCCCCAAAGCCAACACCTCCTTTGGCTGCCATTCCTACCAGTTTTCTGCTGCCAATGACTGGAACGAACTGCAAAAATCTCTGAAGCTGACTCTTATCTCCCTCACTAACTTTAAGTGTCAGTTGTCAGAGCAGCTCACCGATCACTGCACCTGTACACAGCCTTTCTGAAATTAGCCCACCCAACTACCTCATCCCCATATTGTTATTTATTTTGCTAATTTGCACCCCAGTATCTCTATTTGCACATCATCTTTTGCACATCTATCATTCCAGTATTATACGAAATTGTAACTATTTTGCACTATGGCCTATTTATTACCTTACCTCCATAACTTACTACATTCGCATACACTGTATATATATTTTCTGTTGTATTTTTGACTTAATGTTTTTTTTACCCCATATTTAACTCAGCTGCCTTGAGATCATTGACAAGATCCTCCCGTGTAGTTCTGGGCTGATTCCTCACCGTTCTCATGATCATTGCAACTCCACGAGGTGAGATCTTGCATGGAGCCCCAGGCCGAGGGAGATTGACAGTTATTTTGTGTTTCTTCCATTTGCGAATAATCGCACCAACTGTTGTCACCTTCTCACCAAGCTGCTTGGCGATGGTCTTGTAGCCCATTCCAGCCTTGTGTAGGTCTACAATCTTGTCCCTGACATCCTTGGAGAGCTCTTTGGTCTTGGCCATGGTGGAGAGTTTGGAATCTGATGGATTGATTTGCTTCTGTGGACAGGTGTCTTTTTATACAGTTAACAAACTGAGATTAGGAGCACTCCCTTTAAGAGTGTGCTCCTAATCTCAGCTCGTTACCTGTATAAAAGACACCTGGGAGCCAGAAATCTTTCTGATTGAGATGGGGTCAAATACCTATTTCCCTCATTAAAATGCAAATCAATTTATAACATTTTTGACATGCATTTTTCTGGATATTTTTGTTGTTATTCTGTCTCTCACTGTTCAAATAAACCTAACATTACAATTATAGACTGATCATGTCTTTGTCAGTGGGCAAACGTACAAAATCAGCAGGGGATCAAATACTTTTTTCCCTCACTGTACTAAATTTTTCACATGTGGGTTTGACACTTTTTATCAAGCTGTTGGTGCTTGCTTCTATTTATGCCAAATCAGTTGACTGCTGTAGGTTGAGATTCTTGTTTCCTAACATTATTCCTTACACTTTTCTGTAGCGAATAGAGAAGACCCTATACCCATCACATCCCACATATGTTAATGACCCTTGTGGGTGTAACTCAAATGTGTGTTTGGGTCCGGATTGGGAATGTGTGAAACGT